AAAAAGAAAAAGTAGCCTTTGTTCCAAGGTCATATGCACTCCATATGCTAGAATCCTACCAGCTGTTTCATGAACACATGCACAAGCGAAGTCAAGGAGTATCTGAAGGAATGTTTATTGTTTCATTCAAATCCATCTCCATCATTAAAATAACGATATGTTCTATAACAACAGATGAATATCATCATTGTAATATTTGAAGGATAACACATTTTTATCTCTTAAATATTTAAATTTATTATTAATAATATAGCACTCTCCTAGGAGCCTTAGTACCTATAAAATACCTTAAAACAGTATTCTTATTCCCCTTTTTGTTATAAATGCCTTTGAAAACAATAAGAAAGCCACAGACTCTCTAAACAGAAAAATATACAAGATGAAAATCTGTACCCAATTTCAGTGAACTCCAGGTTAAGAACCCCTGCCTGTGCATAAGGTCCCTATTCTCAAGGCATTTGCAGTCTCCTTAGGGGAACTTTTTTGGAAACTTCTGTTCTGCAATTATCTTAAAAATCCACAGCACTTTTTGTGTATATTCTTAGTAGTGGCATCTTTGTCCTCTTGGAGTAGATTGAATTTAAAAGGAAAAAAAAAAAGCCAAAGGTTATTTGGCACCAAAGCTGATGAATACAGTGGGAAGTGAAACTGGATATTACCTTTTTTGGTAAAAACAAGCAGGGAGTACAGTAATGGGGCCCTTTTTCTTTCTGACTCATAAACTGGCTCTGTAGGCAATTCCAAAAGAAGATTTCTGGAAAAGATCCGGGCAATGTAGCATCATCATAATAAGTGGGTATCTTCCATTTTTCATATAAAAAATATTTATAGGGTAGTTAATAAGGGGAAATTGCTCATTTGGATGCATAATTTACACTACTTTGAAAGCAATCAGTCTCATTACCATATATCCTATTTCTAGGGGTTAACATGTATCAAGCTTTTACCATGTAGCAGGTACTGTATTAAGTGCTCTCCATGCATTCAGATCTCATTGAGCTATATATCACTGTTATCTTTAATTTATAAATGAGAAAACTGAGGCTTAAAGTGGTTAAGTAAGTGGCAACCTGGAATTTGAAACATCAATCTTCCTGACTATGAATCCTGTGCTCTTAACCACTGTTAAGAGCACTTCCTCCTGTCCATACATGAAAATCATACACCGCCTTTCATCCCTAAAGGAAAATCCATTAGAATGAAGCAGGTGGGAATTCAAGAAGGAGTTCAGAAGAAGCATCCAGCTGCGTGGACCGTGATGAGAGAGAGTTGCATGAAAGAGGCAAAACTTAAATTTGACAAGATTAGAATAGAGAAAAGAGGAATGGTTACGAGCAGCAATAGCAAGGGCTAAGTTTTGAAAGTAAGATCAGCAATGTGCTTTTGCTAAGGGAGGGCACAGAGGGACGGAGCAGAATAGGCAGAATGACAGCAGGGCGGATAGGTAAATGATTGCAAGTGGTAGTAGTAGCCAAGGGAGACAGGGCAGCTATTACTAAAAAACAAACAAAATCAAGCAGACAAAGGCATGTTGCTCGTTAAATACAAGAGGAAGCCAAAAATAGCATCTAGAGTAGAGGTTCTCACCCCAAAGTTCCCAAGGAACCTTGAAAAAAATCCCAGAACCAAGCTTAGACTGTATCCCAGATCAACCAAATCCAGATTTCTGGGGCTGAAGTCCAGACTTCAGTTTGTTTGGTGCTTTTGCCTTAAGTTCCCATGTGACTCTGCTGTATAACCAGGATTGAGAACCATAAGTCTAACACCTTGGTTAAAGTAGATGAAACAAATATAAATGGAATCTGGTGTATGAAGCAAGTTGGCAACCAGAGAACCATGCCAAGAGAAGGCGCACAAGCAGAAAGGTAGTGAGGACACAGATATGGGCCGGTATTAAGAGACCAGGTAGGGTAGGAAAGCCATGACAGAAGTAGACTCTATAGGTAAGCAAGAGGTATTTG